TCTTTCCCTCAGTGTGACAAAGTTGTGATTTCCCCCATGATACTTTCAGGGTATGAACAGAGCACATAATTAATGATCAGCAGTAAACTCTCCCTCTTTAAGTCTGAATAATATAGACCACTTGACGGTAAAAACATGGAAATGGGTATCCATTTTCTTTATTTCCTTCCTCTCACAATAGACTGCCGCTTCTCCTTTTATGTTCTACTTGGAGAACATAGTTCATTTACAATATCTGCTAAATAGTTACTGTATATATAGATAGATGGATAGATAAGTCAAAGATGCATCTAATACACCTAACCTACCAAACATCGTAGCTTAGCCCAGCCTACCTTAAACATGCTCAGAATACTTATTAGCTAACAGTTGGGCAACATCTAACACAAAGCCTCTTTTATAATAAAGTGCTGAATATCTCGTGTAATTTATTAACTACCCTCCTGAAAGTTAAAAACAGAATTGGTTGTGTGGGTCCAGAATGGTGTGTCGGCTGTTCACCCTCATGATCGTGTTGCTAACTGGGAACTTCATCTCAATACCGCCGTCCAGCATCAGAACATGATACTGCATATCACTAGGTGGGGAAAAGATCAAAATTCAAAATTAGAACTATGGTTTCTACTAAATGTGTACTGCTCTCGCACCATCATAAAGTCAAAAAAATCATTAAGTTGAACCATTGTAAGTTGGGGACCATGTGTACACACACACACACACGACACAAACATTTTTTTTCAATCAGCCACCTCAAAAGTTTAAACACAATATGCTTTACACACTGTAGGTTAATGGGAGTAAATACGAGGGTTATGTTTATAACATGTCAACTCTGCTGAGGTCTCTAATATTAGAAAAAACTTAAAAATTGGTAAATTCAACTGTGTTTGGAATTAAAAATTTAGTAAGTCGGGATCTTCAATAAAAATTAGGTACAGCCGGGCGTCCCTGGCGGCACAGTGGTTGAGAGTCCGCCTGCCGATGCAGGGAACACGGGTTCGTGCCCCGGTCCGGGAAGATCCCACATGCTGCAGAGCGGCTGGGCCCGTGAGCCATGGACGCTGAGCCTGCGTGTCCAGAGCCTGTGCTCCGCAACGGGAGAGGCCACAACAGTGAGAGGCCGGCGTACCGCCAAAAAAAAAAAAAAAAAAAAAAAAAAAAATTAAAGTACAGCCAACTCCAAATTTTCCAGGCCTTTTCTCTCACTTTTGGTCTCTTAAACTGGTCCCTCATATTAGCATTTGAAGTTCAGCATTGAACAAAAGAAAAACAGCATGTGACACTCAATTTGAATGAATATATGAGACTGTTTAGGTAGAAGGGAGGCTGGAGACTTAAGGTTTGGTTAAATTTAGGAGTTGAATTTTCCCTCCATTTCTCCATTACCTCTCCACCACAGTATTTTATTTTACTCTGTTTAATGGAAGTTTTATTACAGATGTGACTTCCTGCCCAAACCCTACCCCCAAATTCCTAGGTACTTACACTGTTTTGTAGTCAAAGAGAGAGTAATCATCCAAAAGGATGCCAGGGTAGAGAAGAGCTTCCAAGACTGGCTAAACGGATCTTGCCGAAGGGTGCAGTTATCCCCGCCATTAAATGTGCCTCTCTGCTAATTGAGTTTGGCCGTTGATGTTTTGTAGAAATCTAAATGTTAGGACCATAAAGACCTCTCCTGCAGCTTCTGGAATCCAGATAAGGACTGTGATAGAGACGGAATGACAGAATATGGGTCCAAAACTGCTCTGGACCAGGCTAGAGAGAGAAAGGAGTTTCTGGTGCTGGGGCTACTCTTTTCTGAAGAATACTTGTGGGGAGAATGATTCTGGGAGCCCCCTGGACTTCTGATACATCTGGAGGGGTCAGGAATGCTCTGCAGTTTCCCTGGAATCTTCCCTTGGAATAACTAAACCCATGTATAGGATACAGTAGGCCTGCTCTAAGTCACTCTAAAAGGCTAGGAGCACAGCAGAAAATCTCCCTTGTACTGGAAATGCTTATTGGCAAAATCTCCAGCACATGTAGATGCCTGTATATGTGCTATACGTGAATATATTCAGGTAACCCCCTCTTGGGACACACAGATGTTATATAAAAAATGCACAGTGGCACAAATCTTGATTGCCTGGAAGAGAAAAGGGGAGTGAAAGATAAGCTATTCAAATGGATTTCATCTACAGAAAACATAAAACTGAGGCTAGAGCTTCCTAAATAATGAGCAATCCTAGTTATTTGTGACATTATCTGGGCAAAAGAGTATATTCTTTCCAGAGATTCTCACGACCATTTTATAAAATTGTCGTCTTTAAGACATACACGTTTTATATACATTACAGAAGATCAATGGAATTTCATCAGTAACACTACTTGGAGCTTTGCAGATTTTGATCCTGAGTCCCTTGGGAGATCCACCACGCTACCAGACTTTCTGCTTGACAATGAACATAGCATCGATTGCTATGTTCCAACTCAACTAAAGTAGCTAGGCCCTTAGGAAGCACTTCATTATTGATTGCTAGATTATCTATTTTGCAGTCAATCCTTGTGAAGACAGGTTGGCATATAATTGAACCTAAAAGAATTACATTTTTATGGGAGTTTTGGAGGGTAGCATTTTATATCTCAAAACTGTATGGTAACCACACATTAGGTCAGCTTGACATTGCCTAGTGTCTATGCCAGAACTCCTGGTTCCTTTCACAGGTGCCCTACATGTTGGATTTGGCACGCGTTGAACTTGTGTGGGAGAGGATGAGTCAGTACGTCTGGTTTAGGACCAAAGCTTTGGAGCTGTGTTTGGTTGGAAACTCCTGGCTATTGTTATGAAAGAGAATGGATCAAAATTTTTTATTGACAGGCAAATAGCTCTGAGGAGACGTTGACAGTCTAACCCTGGGTCTGTATCACTCCATCTTCTCTTGCTTTTTAATTAATTCCAACACAACACATGTCCAATCCCAGCAGCCCTGCCTGGCACCCTGTCAATGCTGGGCATCATTGTAAATCCCATCCAAATATAGTCAAAACCTTCTCAACAACTCTGTTTATAAAGTTGCTGTTCCAAACTCCCCCAGGCCCCGGAGAACCATCCTCACATTCTTAACCATCAGGCAAGCTTCTTCACGTACGATCGTGACTCCTCACATACGATCGTGACTCCTCTGCGGATCAGGACATACATATTATGGGGAACCAAGATGACTGTTCACATCAAGCCCCTCCCCTCCTACCACCACCACCATTTCCATCACTCTCACCATTTAACCCATCTCCTCACAGCCAGCCTATATCTGAATTGGAATGTCCCCCCTTATACATGGGTATTAGGAAGCAGATGAAGGAGATGTAGAGAAAAACACTTAAAGAAGGTTGAGTGGCGACTTTTTGGTGTTTTCA